TCGTGACGCCTTTGGGGGTCGAATTACCCTTTCATAGGGGTTGCCTGATTCATAACAGTAGCAAAATGACAGTTATGAAGTAGCAACGAGAATAATTTTATGGTTGGGGGTCAGCACAACATGAGGAACTGTGTTAAAGCGTCTCGCGGCATCAGGAAGGTTGAGAACCATGGGTTTAGAACCTCAGATACCCAAAGGTGCATAAAGAAAAACAAAAACACAAAACAGAGGTTAGGAGTGGTATAGGAACAAGAGTTTTACTATGTTATTGAAGTGCTTAAGTTGGTATCAATTTAAACTAGATTATTATAAATATAGGATATTAAATGTAATACATACACACAAAAGGAAAGTAGAAGGGAATTAAATCGTTCACTACAAAAAGAATCAACTAAACAGAAAGGAGGGCTATGTAAGAGAAATGAGAGACAAGAGAGGTACATGGCTAATGAAATAATAAGCACTACAAAAAGAATCAACTAAACAGAAAGTAGGGCTATGTAAGAGAAATGAGAGACAAGAGAGGTACATGGCTAATGAAATAATAAGCAAAGAACAGGAGTAAATCCTTATTTTTTTTAAAAATTGCTTTAAACGTAAATGGATTATAGTCTCCAGCTAAAAGACAATAGAAAAGGAAGCATGAGCCACCTATCTAATTACAAGAGACCTATTTGGGATTTCAAGCCATAAACAGGTCAAAGGTGAAAGAATGGAAAAGACAGTCCATGTAAGTAATACCCGAAGGAGAGCTGGGGTGGCTGTTTTAATATAAGACAAAATAGGCTTTACATTTAAAAACTATCCCAGGAGAAAAAGAAGGATGTTATGTAATGACCAAAAGGTCAATTCATCAAGGAGACATAATAATTGTAAACTTATATGCATCCTATATTAGCAACCCACAATACATGAATTTAATCCTGCCAGAATTGAAGGGAGAAATTAAAGAGTATAATACAAACCTGTTGGAGATGTCAGTACACTAAGTTCAATAGATGATAGTTAAGCTACACAAAAGATTAGTGCGGAACAACACGATAACTAATCAGACTGCACAGACATATTTAGAACACTTCATCCCACAACACTCCATCCCACAGAGGATGTCCATTCCTTTCCAATGAACATGATAGACCATACACTAAACAAGTCTCAATAAAATTAACAGATCGAATCATACAGAGTATCTCTCTAATCACACTGGAATGAAGCTAGAAATCAATCATAAAAGAAAACTGGAAACTTCACAAGTATGTAGAATTAATTATATAGCACACTTATCTAACCAATGGGTCAAAGAAGGAATTCTAGAAGACTGAAGTGGGAAGAGGTAGCCTGGGAGCAGAGGAGAGAAGTAGTATTGAAGTGCTGAGTTTCCTGCTGATGAGAACATACCCTTTGTGCACCCAAGCACCTGAGCCTGAACGTTTGGGATAAACATTACCCGCACTCTGCACTGCCCAAGGCTGGTGGGAAAATCAAAGAGGCAAGTAGGTGATGGTTTTCAAAATATATAGAATCATCTACTCCTTCTCTCCAACACTGCTGGTCTTTGCCACACTGCTGATTTTCAGAAGTGGTCAAACAGGACTCCCTGCCCACCCCCCAACCAGAGCAAAACAACTCTCTGCCATCGAGTCAATTCTATAGGACAGACTAGAACTACTCCTGTGACTTTGTTCTTTGATGCCTGATATCTGATCCTATTGACACCTCATGATCGCACAGGCTGGTGTGCTTCTTCCATGTGGGCTTTGTTGCTTCTGAGCTAGATGGCTGCTTGTTTATCTTCAAGCCTTTAAGACTCCAGGCGCTATATCTTTTGATAGCCGGGCAC